CAGAGCTAAAAGAAAGATAGGGCATAGTAAATTATTTTCATAAAAACGAGATGAATTTTTTAAAGACAATAAWAATTTACGAAAATATTGATTATTTGGTTTTATAACTAAGCATCATAAAATCAGAAATATTCTATGATTTAGAAGTTAAGGTATAAAATTTAATTTAATTTTCGATCTGTAATTCCCTATTGAYGACTTATCATAAATCAAATTAGGAACATTTAGTTAGGTAGTTCCATAAGTTAATTAAATAAATATAGTAATAAATATTGTAATAAATAATATAATAAGTTATTATATACCACATTACTAGATACACGAACTTGTTATTTTATATTAATTTTAGGGTAGATATAAATCAGTGGCGTAATTATAAATATCTTTTGGGTTGGGAATTGGAATAAAAGTTTTTATTATCACATTAATATGGGAAGCTATGACTTCACATACTCCCTTTTGATCACTTAATCGTATAAACCATACGTTCATCAACAATTATAAACTAAAATAATGATTATAATATTAAAGTTAAAGCTAAATGTTATTATAATAATAAAATTATTTTTTTATATTTATATTGCTTTTGCACAAACTACTTAAAGTTTTTAAGTCTGTGTTTAAAGAAGTGGCGTAGGGTTTTATTAGAGGGGCTGATAATGGGTCTACACAGACATGGTTTATCGATGGTTTTCTATGAGTTTATCGTACCTATTAATGTCGACGTATTATTTTAGGTTTCGGGTCCTGCATTGTTGTAATACGCACAATTCATTTTATAGAATTTTATATTTAAATTTATATTTAAAGTTAGGTCGTAATTTAAAAAAAAATATTGATGTTATAGAGACTTTGCCACTTTCCTACCTATATGACGGTGGTTATTGTATAATGTACGTACCTATTAAAAATACCTCTTGCATACATTTCTAACACTTGCATTGTGATGTACCTATATAGGAAGTTTATTTATTTATTCCTATTAATTAATCATGTTATAGCTATGCCATATACCTGCCTCTAATATGTATTAAGTGAACGAATGATATAATTTCGCCAAAAAAGATTCCTCTCACTTGGATTTGGTTTTAATTAAACGTCAGGTTGTGGCTTGTAGTTCCGTTCAGAATTTAAAAGCTCTGGACAGTTATTCTATCATTATCAGCCCCTCCTCTCCATAACTTAGCAACTTCCCTGGATATCTACCAATGTCCATTGTTATAAATATAATTTATTGTTCAAATATAAAAACATTATTTCTATTATAAATGTCTTAAAACCGATTATTAGATGAAAATTTAGTAATCAGAAATTTAAATTAGGTGAGATAGTAAATATTATATACATATAGACAGTTTTCAAGTTGTACAGTCACAGCTTTTAGTGTTAAATTTTTTAGTAGTTTTGAAATTTTACACAACTATTTACTTACCTTTTCTTGCTTCTTCTTCCCATTGTTTGGTTATCAATAGATACCGTGGCGATTCAGGACATACAGGTAGTAAAATTAATTGTAATATGGCAGGACATATAGCTAATCCTAGAAGTGAAATAAAAAGTGAATAATGTTCAGTTAAAATATTATAATTATAACTGAGATAAGATTATACTTATAATGGAAATCCTACCTAATAATAAAGGCCAGCCTTCGTCTGTACCCAAAATTTGTTCTATACCCAATATCTGGGATATGAGCAGTCCAGTGGTCACGGCTAACTGATTGACAGTTCCGAGGCCACCTCGTAGGTTGAGCGGCGCTATTTCTGATATATACATTGGCACAAGTGATGTATTCAAACCTGAATATGAGAAGGTTTAATAATAATTAAAACATATGATTGATGTGTTTACGTTATAATAATATAACATATACAATAAATATTCAATTATATTTTTCATACCACAGTTGACTCCTATAATGAATCGGCCAATAAATAGAACTTCATAGGAATTGAAGTATTTAGTGAGACCCATTAAGCAAGCGCCACCAATGCCAACAAAACTATTCAGCAGTAAACCTCCTTTTCTATAATCGATATGATAATAAAAATAATAATAAGTAAATACGCTAAAATCAAAACGACTAACTTAAATTTTTAAAGTAAAACTAATATTATTTTACTCTTAGTCTTAACTTGTTTTTAGTAAATATATATTAGGTGGAAAAAATATTT